AAATCCAGTCTTCTAGTTTTGTTTTTTTCTATGTGTGTTTGGGGGAGTGGGCAGTGCTGGGGATTGAACACAGGGTCCTTGCACTGAGCTACATCCTTAGCCCTACTTAATTTTTTTGTTTTGAGACAGTTTCACTAAGTCACTAGTTGCTGAGGCTGAGGTCAAAATTGCAATCCTCCGGCCTCAGCCTCCCAGAGTGCTAGTAATATGGAGGACAAAATTGGCGGCTCCCTCCACTCACCCTAGGCCAACCCTTAACCCTGCCCAGGGCTCACCACATAATGGTTGACATAAGGGAAACCAAGACTCCTCACCCCCAGCTCTCCTGCCCAAGGGGAACCTATCTCCCCCTGGAGCTCACTGCAGGCTCCTGCATGTGGGCTGCATCTCACACATACAATTGTAACAGTGTGAGTTATGGGAAAGCACACTAGCCACAGCTGACAGAACTCTGCAGACAAGCCTCAGCTCCTGCCCACCATGCTGTCACTCACACTCTGGAAGACCCGATTGGGTGGTGCCTAAAGCAGGGGGACACGGAAACCCCACCTCCTGCGCCTGGGTGCTCCTGCCATTTACGCTTCAGCAGCGTGACCGCCCACTGCCCTCGTACCTTTGCTGTAACCAACTTCACTGCTGTTCCCTTGCCATTGCGTGCCTTGTCCAGATCCTTGTCCATTGCATACGAGAATCTGGGAACCCTTCCTGGGGCCCCTCGACCACAGTAACTCTGGGGTCACGTGTGTGCCACACACCTGCGGTGCTGTGAACTATGGTCACCAAGTGTGCTGTACAACAGGAGAACTCACTCCTTCCGCCAAACTGTGTCTTGATTCCGGCTAGTGGTCTTCCCCGTCCAGCCTCCCTGCCCTCCCGGCCTATGGGAGCTGTTTCACTCCTTACTTATGTGAGACCAGCTTCTTCAGTGCCCACGTATGAGTCAGACATGGGCATCACCTTTCTGTGCCTGGCTCATTTCACTTACGCACTGTCCCGCAGGCTCACTGTTTTTTTACTGCTGGGTCCTTCTGTAGCACACATGGGCCACATTTTCTCCATCCATTCGGCTGCCGTGGACACCTAGGTTGGCTATGTCCGGCTACTGTGAATCATGCTGCAGTAAACATTGTTACTCACAGCTTCAGCCTGAAGAATTTGCTCTCTGCTGTTGTTAGGCCTGAGGGACGAGACCCAGGACAGCATGCTGCTCCAGTTCCAGTTAAACGAAGACACGAAGGCCTCCGTGTGTGATATGTTTATCATCAAGTGTTACGTCTTGGACCCAGGCGACCCCACAGAGCACGGGGAGAAGCTGAGGTCACACCCTGGCAAGTCTTCCCCGTGCCTGGCCCCTAGCCATCCCCTGCCACAACAAAGCATGCAGCATTCCTGGTGCCATATTATTGCAGACAGGTAAGTTAATTAGATATCTTGTGGGCAGTTAGACAGGCCAGAGCACGAGGCGCCAATACGGAGGACAGTGAAGACACAGGCACTGAAGGCCAGCCCTGTGAAAGGAGAGAAACTACACACCATGTAGGATGAATAGCAGTGACTGATCTAAACAGGCATCAGTCACCTGGGTGGGGTGGCTTGTTTCCCCCCTGGATCCCCATTTGATCCATATCACCAAAGCAACTCTATGTCACAGTCTCACTGGTTGCTCATAGTTTTGTCCACCTTGTGATTGCTCATTGGATCAGTGTTACCTAAGCAACTGTACTTGTCATCTTACTGGTTGACTACAGTTTTGTCCCACCTTGAACCCGCCTCACCTTGTGGCTTTGCCCCATAAAACACCTTTGGGAAGTGGGGTGCTCGGGCAGCCCACTCTCCAGTCCCCCTTCTGTCTCGCTGGGACAGAAGCTTTCTTTTTCTCAATAGATTTTCCCACTCTTAACCTCCCTCATTCCTAGAATTCATTCTCTGATTTTAGAGAACATGAACTCACACTTCGGACACCTGGCAGGCTTGGGAGTCGCATCTCTTCCCCTATATCAGTATCAGGAAGGGGAGCCTTCTTTAAAGAGCCTCTCTGCTTGGGCTGAAACCTGATTTAGCTTAGGACGTTTTCTGACTAAGTCCCCAGAGTACACACCGACCATCTGAAAAGAACAAGGAAAGCGTTTTCCAGAGAAGCACATTTGAAGGTAACTTCTAATGTTGATAAGCTCCTTAGTCACCTTAGCCCAGAGGTAGCTCGTGTGCATAACAATGTGACCAAACTCACTTGGGCAGTGGCCCCGCCCACCTCCTCTGGAAGCCACAACTCCGCTTCTGCATCACAGTAGACTCTGGAGTCCTAGATCTCTACACAGCCGCCTCCGTGTTTTGACTGAAATCTTTCATCAAAGAACTGAGGACCAAGAAGTGAGGGGCCCATTTCTGTGTCAGGCCCTGGTTTCCTGGTGACCATATTTTAAAATTTGGTCTACTGGCAATACATTCTTTTTTGGTTTTTGCTTGTTTGTTTATTTTGCATTTTTTGAGACAGGGTGGAGCTTTGTGTCCAGGCTGGTCTTGAACTCACAGTGATCCTCCTGCACCTCCCAAGTGATCAGATTGAATGTCTGCCACCGCGTTCGGCTGGTGAACTCTGTTTTCTTCCATTCCACAGTGTCTTCTTTATGCCATCTTTTCTGCAGGATATTTTCACTGGCTATAGAAGTCTGGACTGAAATCCTTTAAAAAAACGTCAGGTGAATATCACAATCCAGCTGCTCTAGCTGTGCCTCCTCTGCGTCCCGTGCTCTCCGTAATTCCAAGGGGAAATCTGCAGTCATTCTCATGTCTCCCCACGTGTGCTGGGTTGTTTCTCTTCAAGGTTTTGTTCTTATTGCTGGTTTCCAGCAGTGTGAGCACCGTGCTCCCAACTGTTTTTTTTTTTCTGAGTTTTCCTTCTTCGGAGTTCACTGAGGTTTGTCAATCTATACATTTATCTCTTTTCACCTTTCTGACCTTTATTTCTTCAAACATTTTTCATCACCAGTATTTCTAAGATTCCCATAGTGTGAGTATAGATTTTTTAGGTTTTCCCTGCAGGGTGCTCAAGCTCAGTTTTATTTGAATCTTCTCTGCTTCTCAGATGGGATCATCCCTATTGATCTGTGTTTATGTGTACTGACTTCTCCTCTGTTAATTCCATTCTGCTTTTGAGGCTAGCCAGAGGGTTTAAAGAGTCTCAATATTGTGATTTTAGTGTAGTTTAGTTTACCTTTTTTAGTAGCAGGGATTGGACTCAAGACCTTGCTCTTGTGGGGCAGGCATGGTACCACTGGGCTAAATTCCCGGCCCAATATTGTGTTTTAAAATTCTAAGTTTCTATGGATTAAAAAGAAAGATATTGCCTTCTTCTCTGCTGAGAATTTCTATTTTTCCAGTGATTTCAAGAGAGTTTACTTTTATTTGAAGAAGCTTGGTTGTAGTAGCTGAATGGATCTTTGTCGGATAATTCCAACATCTGAGTCATTTTCGGGTGTCAGTTTCAGAATGCAAGCTCTGCCTCCCTCCCGTGGGCCACAATCCTGTCTCAGGTCAGTTCTCAAGAGCCTTACCCTGCTGTGGTGACCTGTCCCATGATGTGCTACTCAGAGTTCAGCCTGGGATTAGGGATCCTTCTTCAGCTCTCTTCTCCCTGAAGCTGGTCACTGTCACCAGCTTCCAGGGCCCCTGTACAATCCTCTGGTTACAAAGATGGGCTCTTTAGAAACTTTTCCGTCACTGCCCCACAGTTCCCTGTGACTGGGATTACCCTCGAGCTAGGAGGCAATAGCAAGGGACAATATAAGGGACCCCCCTCCACCCACCCCCTCACACACACTCTTGAGAACACAAGTTTCCCTTTGCCTGGTTTCAGTGCCTGACCGACAGATTTTCCTCTCGGGGTTCAGTGTGTGCTCTGGTGTTGTGTCATAGTGCAGCTCTATGATCACGTCCCCCTTGGTTGGGAGATCTGAGAGGGAAAAAGCAAAAACCAAAACAAAAGCAAGACTTGGAGTCTACCCACACACTTGGGCTTGCAGTTCTCTCTCTCTGACCAGAAAAGTAAGTTTACTTGGAGCTCATGCTGTCTGCAGGTGGTGTGCAGGTCCCTGTGGGGACCTTCGTCCACCTGGGAGATGAGGGAGGGACACTAGAAAAGGCACCCATCAGGCAGGCCCTTCCTCCACTGGGTCTCATTCCCTATCTGCCTTGCTGTGGTTGGCTTTTGTGTGTTGTCTGGAGTTTGAGTTGGGGTCAGTAAGAATGGTGGACCCCAGTGAGCTTTCTCCATCTGTCCAGCACCATAAGTATCTCCTTTGCTTTTGGAAGATGCTTTGCTGGGTGTAGAAATCTGGGCTTATAGTCTTGTATTCATTTTGTTTGTGTTACTGGGGCACTTGAACCTGGGACCTCAGAGATGCTAATCTCCACCACTGAGCCACACCCCAGCCCATGGACTTGTGGTCTTTAAATGTGTTCTTCCTGGTCTCCTGGTCTGTGGACCTTCTGAAGACAGACATGCTGAGCTCTCACCCTTCTTCATCTGTGTGTGACATGTCATTTTTCTCTCTATCTACCTGTAATATATGTTTTATCTTTGGTTTCAGCGGTTTGAATATGCTGTGACTTTTTGAAAAATACTTTTAATCTTGGCTGGGGCTTTCTTTACTTGGATCTGTGGAATGGTGTCTTTCATTACTTTTGGAACATTCTGAGCCATTTCTTTTTCAAGTTTTTTTCCTGCCCCATTCTCTTTTCTCTTTCTATTATCCCAGTTACTTAGAAGATGGGCCACTTGAGGCTGGGTGTGGTAGTGGTGCATACCTGTAGTCCCAGCACTCAGGAAGCTGAGGCAGGAAGATTGCTGTGAGTTCCAGGTCAGCCAGGGCTACAAGGTGAGTTCAAGGCCAGTCTGAACTACATAGTGAGACCCTGTCTCAAATAAACAAAACAAAACAAAAAAAAACAGGAAAGAAAAAGATGGGCCATTTGAAATTATTTCCAGGCTTATTTTTCTCTTTTGTATTTTTGTTTTTCATTTGTTTGTTTTTCCCATTTTTTCTCTTTGTGTGAGTTTGGCGGATTTCTATGCACTTGGAGCACACTATTCTTTCCTTGGCTGAGTTGAGCCTATTCCTGAGCCAATGTTAGAAGTCCTCTTCTTTCTTAGTCTGTTTTTATTCTCACATTTCATTTCCTTGGTTTATATCTTTGTGGTTAAATTCCTCATCTTTTCGTTCATATTGTTTGCCTTTTCCACTTGAACCTTAACACAAATTCCTGTCTGATGATCCCTCCATCTGAGTGCATCTGAGTCTGGTTCTGAGATTTCATCTCTGGCCGTGTCTGTGCCATACCAGGAGCCAGACGTGCAGTGCTGTCACGCCTGAGGTGAGGCGCACCAGTAGCTGGGAGCTGGCACTTCAGTCCGGACTTGTGGAACCCTTTCCTTTCAGACCATCATTGATTCAGCCATGCTGTGAGTTGAGTCGTGTTTAGGTTTTGCTGTTGCTATGCTTACCTTCTATGTAACTCCAACTTCAAAGTCCTTTGGGGTCAGATTTTACCACGGTGGGCTGGTTTGTTGTGTGGATCTTCCCAGCATTCTGAAGGGTGCTGGTGTGCTAGGTGGGTCTTAACACTAACTATTCTGAGGGGAGCTAGTTCCCTGGGAGGTATTTCCAGTGTTCTAAGGGAGACTGGTTTGGTGGGGAGCTCCTCTCTGTTCCCACTGCACCTTCAGCTTTAGGCACCCGTGTGTACTCACACCCAGTTGGCCCCTCTCCATTCCCCCCACCTCCATAGCAGACTGCTCTTCCTTGCTTCCTGATGCTTGTGAACTGGTATCTGGGGCAGATGGAGTTCTCTGATGCTCTAACCTCACTTCACGGCCTCGAGTCTTGGGGAGGAAATTTCCAGGGATCCTGTTCTTTTAGAGTAAGAAGACCTCCAAAGGGAAGGGCCTAGTGGATTCTGACCCTTCCTTAAGAGGTGAGATATGTTCCTTATGCTTTTCCCAGCCCCAGCTGGTACTCAAGTGTGTGTAGGGATGGGAGGACCCCTGCCTTCCTCCAGCCTCCGAAGGCATTGTTCCACGATGTCTCAGTGCTGGCTGTGCCCTTAGAGATGTCCCTACCAGCATTCTGTCTCTGATTGTGCCCTGCTCCTGGTCTTTCCTGTGTGGGAAGATCTGAGGAGCTCTGTAAAGAGCCACACATGGGCAGGAGCCTCCTTGGTGTCCCAGCTCTCACACGACTCACACTTGGCTTTTAACAACTTGCCAACAGCTTTATCTGAAATCTTGCCTTCTTTTATGGTCACCTTGGCTCTCCCTGATCTGTTGAGAGTATAATTGGATCCTGGCTGGTGGATTAACCTGCCGCTCCAGCTCTGTGATAGATGTAAGGAAAGTCATGATTTTGCAGGTCATTCAACTTGTCTTGTTTCAGAGTGGGGACAGTGCTCTTTACTGTGTTCTGCATTCTCAGCAGAGGACCCCCCATCACATGACTTTGCCTCCAGGACTATAAAATGGCGTGATGATAATAACTCCTCCACACTGAGAGCACACATAGAGGCACAGGAGTGCGTGGATCCATCAGGTTTCTAACACTGTGGCCTACCTGAGAAAAATCAATGTAAAGGAAGAAAGGTTTATTTACTTATTTTATCTTTGGATTTTTTCTTTTTTTTACAGTACCGGGGATTGAACTCAGGCCCTTGCACTTGCAAGGCAGGCGTGGCACCACTGAGCTAAATCCCCTAGAAAGGTTTATTTTGCTCAGAGTTTCAGAATTTTAGTTGATGCTGGCGGGTTCCATTGTGCCTGGACCAGGGTTGAAGCAGAACATTGTGGCAGAGGGCTCTAATGCAGTGATGCTTCTAACTTCATGGTGCCAGGAAGAAGAGACAGAGCTTGCTTGTATACCCAGCCCCACTCAGCTATGAATCAATAAATAGATCAATTTATTGCCAAGGTCAGAGCTTTCAGGAGAAATCACCTCCCAGAAGTCCCCCCTCTAAACGCCGCTGGTTTGAGCAGAAAGCCTTCAACACATGAGCTTTTTTTGGTATCGGGGTTCGAACTCGGGACCTTGCACTTGCACAGCAGGTGGTGAAACCACTGAGCTAAATCCCCAGCCCCACATGAGCTTTTTGAGGACATTTTAGGGCCAGGGATTTAGCTCAGTGGTTCTACCCCCTGCCTTGCAAGCACAAGGTCCCGAGGACATTTTAGATCCAAAGTGTAACAGCATTGCTCACGTCTGTGCTCTGGGTATGCATTCTGTTATCATTTCTTTTCCTTATCTTGATTTTGTGATGTTTCAGTTTGTTAGAATTTTGTTTTTGTATTGTTTTGCTTCCAGTTGTTTGAAAGCTGTGTCTAGTTTTCTTGGGAATAATCGTAGTTTCTTTTTTAAAACCACTTTTCATTGCAATTAAAATATACAAACAGAGCAGTGCATGTATAATGTGAGCGTTTTTAAACATTAAATCCCTATTATTTTGTTAGCAACTGTTTATATCTGTTTATATCTATTTATATCTGTTTTCATCTCTTTTTTTTCAGTACTGGAGATTGAATCCTTATTTTTAATTTTGAGACAGGGTCTCACTAAGGGACGAAGCTGCCCAGGCTGGGTTGAACTTGCAGTCTTCCTGGCTCAGCCTCCCAGAGTGCTGGGATTACAAGTGTGGGCCATGATGCCTGGCTTACATTTCCATCTTCAACCAGCCCAGGACAGGGGTTGGTTTCACTGTCCTCCTTCGGAGGCAGATTAGTGCGTGGCGAAGCAGCCGGGCAAGTAGTTTTGACCTGTAAGTCATGGAGATCCAGCACACATGTGTGGAACATATTCACAGTCTCGCACCTGGGCCCAATCAGAAAATGCTATCTTCTGTTCTCCCGGCACAAGATGAAGCAGATTTTTGATAGGATGGCCTAGATCTTACATCAGAATGGGGGATACAAAAGACAGTGGCTACTGACTTTGTGGCCACTGTGTTTTCTTTCTCAGCGACTCACTTCACACTCTGCAGAGTATACTTCTTTTCCTACCTTTAAGAACATTATTTTATTTGTTTGTTTGTTTGTTTGTTTGTTTGAGACAGGGTCTCGCTATGTAGTCCAGGCAGGTCTTGAATTCACTATGTAGCCTAACTGGCCTCAAACTTGCAGCGATCCTCCTGCCTCAGGCTCCAAAGTGCTAGGTGTCATACCTGGCAGGTGAGGCCCATCTCTATGGCAACCACATGGGTCAAAGAGTGGCCCAGGCACCACCATCAAGCCTTGGTGGTGGAAGTACAGGAAACGTCAAAGAAGAGCAAAGACAAGACACTGGCTGTCCCGAGAAAAGTGACCTCACTCTTATCCCTCCCTTCCCCTTAAATTCTTTGTTCTCTCTCTACTCCATGCTGAATTGCCTTTCAGATTCAGCCCACTCATCACCTGCCTGAGCGTAACAGACAAGCCTTATTGCTCACACAATGCCTGCCCAGCTGGTCTCTCCTCTCTGCATCCCTAACCCATTGGGATTACAGGTGTGTGCACCACGCATGGCAATACCTTTAAAAAATGTAAACCCTCAGTATCCTTTGCATATTTTCTAATCCATTCTTTTTGGTACTGGGGATCGAACTCGGGTCCTTGCGCTTTTGAGGCCGGTGGCAGAACCACTGAGCTAAATCCCCGGCCCCTCCATCTTTTTTGTTTTAGACTCCCGAAAACCTGGAAAGGCCCAGACCTTGATAATACAGTTTTGGTGAGCTAGCCAGGAGGTCAGAGAAATTAGTGGAAGCCAGGGAATCTCCCAGCACCCTAGCAGGGGCCCAGCATCGGGCTGCCTGCTCCTCTGCTTCCTACCATGCAGCCCCAGCGTGGCCTGGCTGCTTTCCTCTGCATGTCTTTCGCACCACTGCATCTCTCCGCACCCCTGCTGCTCTCCACCAGAATGGGTCTGCATCAAGCCCGATGACATGTGAAGGGTGTGCGCCCCTCCCAGGGACGTGTGCCCCAATGCTGACCTGTGGGACACGGCAGCACCCTTTTGGGCATGTGTGTAGGGGCTGCCAGAGAGCCTTTTCAGCTTCCTTACTCTTTCGGTCTCCAGCTTGAGTAGATGCCTACCCCAGCTTTCCACTTTCTGTGATCAAGGTCTTGTCTGAGCTTTTCCCCTAGACGGCCTTTTCTCTCTGAGTATCACTTTTTCAGGGAACCGTCACAGTCCATGTGGTTCGGCCATGTTGTTGCATCTCTAAAGCCTCTGTTGTCAGGGAACGTGTGGAAATCCTCCCCTCTTCTCTTCTGAATCAGGTTACATCCCCTCCCTGTTTCTTCTAACAGAAATTCAGGTAATTTAGAAACATGTGCCTGAGCAGAACAAAGGAACAGCCAGGCAGTAAAGGCCAACTCAACCAGCTGTGAGCATGCAAAAGTAGAGCCACCCTTCTGCTTAGAAATGTTTAAAGGTTTTTTTCTTTTGTTTTTTCTCTTAAATGCTAAAAAAGATATTTCCACCTCTACTGCCTCAATTACCAAAGTTTTTGTTATTCCAATAAATGTAAGGGATATTATTTCTCAAGTGGCTATCTGGAAACCCCAGGGAGGGTCCACCTTGACCTTTTCTTTATTCTTTCTCATGTAGCTGACCGAGGCCCCCAAGGGCTCCGTCCTCCTCTCTAGAGTCATGGTGTGCCACAGGGTAGTGAGAGTTCTAAGGAAAAGGTAAATAAGTAAGAAGGCACCAGTGCTGCTCTGCCAGAGACGTCTTGTAGGCACTACATTAGAGGTGCAGAGAGGACACTCTTGGGGACTCAGTGGGTCTGCTCGCTTCTGTGTGGGATGCCACGTGAAGGACTGCAGACCTAGTGTTCTTTCTCTACATCTCCATAGGCCCCAGATCCTAGCAACCTCCCCCCTAGGGTGCAACCTACCCTATGGTGAGGGCTAAGGACAGTCACCAGTGCCTCTTGCTTCAGCAGAGATATCTGGTGGTGTCTGAGCCTTACAACAGATGCTTCTGTGAACTCAACAGGTCTGCAGCCTCCTGCCTAGGCCTCCATCTGCAAGACCCCAGACCCAGGGTTCTCTCAACCCAGAGACCCACGCAGTACTCTTTGGGTCCAGTATAAACCAGGAAGCAGTGAGGGGTGGGTACAGAGCGTGGTCTAGATTATGCTACTGCTCTTTGGTTAGACCTGTTTTTCTGCAAAAGGCAAGGAAGGTGGCTTAAAATCCCTGATGTTCAGGCTTTTATGGCTCTTTGTCTCTGGAAAGCCCAAGAACTGTGGTACTGAACGAGGCCTCCAAGGAAGACGGGATTGGTATCACCGAGGATCCCATCCTCATACCCCACCTGTCTCTCAGGGTTACATTGTATGAGTCTCTCCCACCCGTTTAATGAAAACAGCACAGTGGGTGGGCCCCTCAACCTCTCCTTATAACCCTCAGGCCAGTAAATACTCAGGACCGCCGAGGCTAGCACCCCCGAGACCCAGTATTCCCTAGCCCTCCTGTGTTCCTCAGACAGCCTTAAGCCCCACAGGACATATTCAGAGTGGAGTTTCTGCTCCTTTGACTCACAGCTCCTCCGGCCGAGAGCAGTCCCAGAGCAGGGGGTGGGCTCGAGGCAGGTTCCCTTTTCAATGGCAGCCAACAAGGCAAAGAACAGATAGGCCAATTTTCAGAAGACCCTGGTAGGCGTGCGGATGGGCCCCCAGACTACTCTGACCCTCTGACCGTAGCCTTTTCTGTGTTCAACAATCAGGACCTAGATGAAGATGGAAGGAGGGGGCAGGGAAGAGGAAGACAGGCCAGAATGATGGTGCCACACCCAACTCCTCCAAGGGAAAAGCCAGGGCCAATCAGAGAAGGAGCCCTTGCTCTAAAGGAAACCGGACACTGGGCACACGGCCTGGGCCCTGCTCTGTGTCGGGTGGCTGATGTGCCGGACCCAAGCACTGGAAGATCGCCTGTCCCGCTCCCAGAGAGGCCTGGGCCAGCCAGAGACTCACCGTCCACCCTGATGCAGAGGACTGAAGGGCTGGGCGATCTGCAGTGCTTCTGCCCAGACATCTCCGCCTCCCGTGAGAAACCATGGGACCCCTGGACATCGTGGTTAAGCACGTTCCATTAGGAAGTAGCTTTGTCTGTTTTAACTCCCTTCTCCAGAAAACCCTCCTCTAGATCTACAGCCACAACTGGGGTTGAGGGGACAGCCGCTTTGACGGTCAAGTGTTCAATCAGGAGTTTCCTTGCGGCATGGTGGACTTCAGAGCGTGCCCGCTCAACTGAGACAGCTGTCAGAGCACCGGGCATCCCTGGCAGTCTTGGGGGTCGTTGAACAAACTGTCTCTGGCTTTTGTTGCAGCCTGGCTTTCCAGTGAGCCCCCAAAAGCTCACTGTGTTGAAGGCGTGGTCCCCAAGGCAAGTGTCCAGAGGTGGGACTTTGGGGGTGTATGGATCATGAGGGTGCTGGCCGCAGGTTCACAGCGGAACGGGCCGTGAGGGGCAGGGCCTGGCGGAAGAGTGTGGGTCTGGGGCGTGGCCTCGTGGGTGGGACTCGGTCTCCGCCTCCCCCTCCCCGGATCTGCGGGCAGCCGAGCAGCTTTCCTCCTCTGCAGCTTGCCTCGTCTACACCTTTCTGCCAGCCTGCCTCTGCTCACCTCAGGCCCAGAGACGACAGAGCAGGCTGGCCCTGGACTGAACTTTTCCTGCTCTTAAGTTGTGTATGGCAGGTACTTTGTCATCGCAATGAAAAGCTGACAGTTTTCAGCAGGTTTAATCTCCTGTAAACAGGTGTGGATTTCTTTGTGTTTGTTCTGATTGGGATTGAGCTATCTCTGTGATCTGTAATTTATCTCTGTTCGATTTTGAATAATCTTTTATTATGTCGTCAAATGTTGCCCCTGGCCCTTTTCCTCTTTTTCCGTTTTATTTTATTTGTTTATTGTTTTGGTGCGGGGATCGACCTGGGGTCCCGGGGCTCTGTTTGAGAAGTCTGTGCAGAGTGAGCCACACTTTCCCCTCCCCCTCCCCTCCCCTCCCCCCTTCCCTCTTCCTCCTCCCATCCCTCCTTCCTCCTTTCCTCCTTCATTCTCTTCCTCTTTTCCTCCTCCACCTTCTTCGTCCTGCTCCTCCTTTTTTGAGGCAGGGTCTCTCTGTGTAGTTCGGGCTGGCCTTGAACTCACCACGGAGCCCAAGCAGCCCAAGGCCCAGCTCCTCACCCTTCTGAGTGTTGGGATTACAAGTGTGAGCCACCCTGCCCAGCCTTCTCTGCTTCTGAGTATTTTTATCAGACCTATCTTCCAGTGGATGAATCATTTCTCCCACGGCATCTAATCTGTTTGTGAACCCACGTGTTGAATTCATAGTTTCAGTTATTGTATTTTTCTGTTTCCAAATTTGTATTGGATTTTTGTGATTTTACTTTTCTCTTTTTAAGTGTGAACCATGAGCAGAGTTATAAATGATGAGTAAAATAGCTGTAGTGATACTTTTAACACATGTTCCACTTCTCTGCCGCACTCCCCACCTCCTGGTCCCCTCCTGGTCCACCTCATGTCAACCACAGTGCTTTCCAGTCCTTCTGCTGATGCCAGAGTCCTCCTGGCCTGCTTTGTTCTTTGTTCAGACTTCCTCTTGCTTTGTTCTTCTGCCTTGGTTCACTGTTTTCTTTGTCTGCGTTGCTTCTGGATGTCGCATGTGGAGTTGTGTGGGGTGATGACACTGGGCAGTGGGCTCTCCTTCTGGGAGCTCTGCTGGGCCCCGGTGGGAGGCAGGGTGGCTGAGCCATCTGGGCTCAGCTCAGGCTGTTTTGCAGTTTGTGTCCCCAGCTCCTCAGCTGCAGGTTGAACAGCAGAGTCCCCACCTGGCTGGCATCACTGCACTCCCACCCTGTGGGACCCCAAGCCCTATTGGGCCTCAACTTCTTGTCCACAGCAAGAATGTGGCTATCGGAAGTCAGGGGAGGCCCTGCTGTCTGCTGCCACCAACCCTGACAGGGCCTTGATTTCTGAATTTTGGCCTCCAAAACTGTGAAGAAATAAACCTGTTATGTTGTTCAAGCAACCCTGTATTTTTTTTTTCTTGGTGGTGGTTCTGGGGATTGAACCCAGAGGACCTCTACCACTGTCCCACGCCCCAGGGTCTCAGTTTTGCTGTTTGGAGACAGGGTCTCACTGTTGCCCAGGCTGGCCTGAAATTTGTGACCCTCCTGCCTCAGCCTCCCAGGTGGATGGGATTCCAGGTGTGCAACACCACACCCAGCATTCATCTGTATATTTTGGTATGGCACCCCCAGTGGATGAATACAGCATACTATTCACCAAATATCTCAGGAAAAACTGAGTTCCCTTTATTCTGGAGTCTTTGTTCCTAGGAGAAAGTCTCTGCTTTGGTAGCCATCCAGACTGTTCAACAGCTTTTTAAAATATTTTGTGCAGGCTTCGGGTTACTTTGGTGGGAGAGTTTGGCCCAGGCAGGCACCCTTTGGGAGGCAGCAGCACTAGGCTTCCCCCGCAGTGGTCCTTTAGCTGTGTGCAGTCACACACTTCCAGTCCAGAGCAGCGTCCTCAGCGGGTCTGTGGCTTGCCCAGCCCACCCTGACCACCTTCTCCTATCACTCCCACCGTGGCCGAGGCCAGGGTGGACCTCAGCATCCTGTCTCTGCATCCGGAGTCCTGTGACTTGCTGTTCCTCACGTTCTCAGCCATGACCTGCCTACTCATCCTCGGCTTTGAATTCAGCAGTCCTCGCCTTCATTATGGGGCTGTGGGTCTGCATGGGCGGGAAGGGGGGACCTCAGTGTCTGTCTCAGTCCCTTTATCGTCCCTGAGGTGCAACTCCTGACGCCCACAACTCTAAGGAGGAGAGCTTTATGTAGGCTCACAGTTTGTAGAGATTTCAGTCCATAGCTGGCTGGTTCCAAGAGGGCAGCGTGTCAGAGGGAAAGCAAAAAGAGCAAAGGGAGGGGCAAGGGAGGTAAACAGACCCTTCTAGCCCAGGGCTGCGATCCACTTCCGCTGACCAGGCTCCACTGCCCAGCATCACGTTTAGCAACTCTTGCGGCTCCTATCTGGATGCCCTCCAAAGCCCCATGCACTCACAGGTGGGCCTTTTCCAAGGTGGCTGGATTTAGGGTGTGTGAATGTGGATTTGCAGGGACCAGGGAAAGGGGACATTACTAGAACCTCTGCAGCGAGTCCTAGTCTCCTGTGAGCCATGGCAGCACAAGGCAAATTAACTTATTATACAGGAAAGGTAGAAAAATGAGACTTGGGGAAGAAGCTGAGCTTTGGGTCTGATCAGTGCCACTCTGGGCAGGGAAGACGAAAGCCCCCAGCTTACCACACCTTTATTCAGTACATGGGGAAACAGATGTAACAAATGACTTGCAGAGCGTTCAGTACATAGGGAGAAACAAAGTGTAACAATCCAAAAACAATGAGGAACTGAGTAGATGAAGATTTGGTTCCTCCCAGGATGTCTTCAACTGCTGTAATCTGGTCCTGGAGCATCACAGCATCACCGGATCATTGAGGTCTGTTGTGACCGGAGGCCAAAATGGAATTATGTCCGGAATGCCATAGCTGGGCTGTAGGCAGAACTATGCTAACCAAATGATTTTTCCCTAAAATTATGTAGCATTGCTCCCGACATATCTCCCTTTCTTTTTGTTTTATGTGAGGGTGTTTTCAGGAAAAGTGAGCACACCCAACAATGGCTTGTCCCTATATATTGTGAAGATCTATAGTATGTTTGACTGGGTTAGCTGTCTATAATAAGCATAATTTCTCTTAATTGGGGCTGTAAAAGGATTAAAAATGTAATAAATTTTTAAAAAATATTGGCTAAAAAACTTAAAACTTTTGTTGAACTCAAATAAATATCTTCTGTTATACTTTTCTACTGGGTGTTTAGGACCAAGTTATGGTGAGACTTATGTTAAATAAATCAACCTCTTGCTGTCTAACAAGGTCAATCGAGTCTCCGCAGGCACTGTCTTGGGACCATGCATAGAGCCTCTCAGCTCCTCTGTCAAGAGTCAGCCATCAGGACGTGTCATGGCCTTGCTTGACCATGTTGCTTCCTGCAAAAGCATGGGAGATTTTTTCCTCCAGATGACATTCCTTTGGCACACTTTTTGTTGGATCTTACGTTTTGGTGTTTAACAACCTCCCTGCTCAGGAGGTTGGGTGACTCACCAAAGATGAAGGATCTTGGAGAAGGTCCCTCATGACCTGGATCTTTTTGTTGTTCTTGTTGACCTTGGAGGGTTAGGGCCAAAATATTGGCTGCCTTCTTAGCCCAGATACCTTTTTAGTTCTGGTCTCTAAACTTTGGTTGTGGAACACCCAGAAGAGAACATTAGCTAACATTAGCATTGTAAGAGGAGTAGTGAACTCAACTATCATAATTTTACCTGGATATTAAGCATTTTGGAATAAAAATATAGTTAAAAGACTTGTTATTATTGCCAATTATGATTGTTCTTGTGGTTGAATCTCTGAGTAGCTATCTTTTTATAGGATGTCATCTAAGGAAAATAAATCACCCTGCAAGTGTGCTTATTATCATAAGTGGCTGGAGCATAAGAGAAGGGCAAATATCTGAATCAAAAGGTTATTACCATAAACAATATTTTGGAAGACCTGTACAATTAGAGGGCATGAATACATTTGTACATCAGAAAAGGAGCAGTAATAAGTATCACAGTTACATAAAACCCTATGTTCTTCAATGTAGTTTGGTACCAAAACCATCTTTCTAATAACACTCTTGTTTATGCCCCAGAAATTAATCTTTTGAAGATGGCCAATGTAGATATATCACAATAACATTTTTAGAACCTTAACCAATATAAACATTTGGGGATTTAGCTCAGTGGTTTCGCTGCCTGCCTTGCAAGCGCAAGGACTGGAGTTCGATCTCTGGTACCAAAAAACCAAAAAAAACCAAAAAAACATTTTATAATAACATATTTAGAACTTAGACTTCAATGATAACCAATGTAATCAATTTGTAATAATGTATTGAGACAACATTTATTGTGGTGTGTCTCCCATAAGATTATGAAAATTACCAGGGTATCCCTTTAGTGAATTAAGCCCAGAGTAATTATTTTCTGGGCGGCCACTTCTTTCTTCACCAAAAGGAGTACCCATGGTCTCTATGTACTTTGACAAATAAATCTCGATGGCACTTTGATCAGTCAGCAACCTGGGGGAAGAAGGGCATGCCTTTAACTTAATGACATTTATCTGTAAGCCAATCCAATAATAGGCGAATATCTTTTAAGAAAAAATTTTTTTTTCAAAAGGTGAAAAGGAAAAGAGAGAAAAAAAAACTTGAGCTCAACTGCACAAATGGACAGACAGACAACAGACAGACATATAAGACAATTTATAAAGCTAGAGTGCACTCAAATGTATCTGGCCAAATTGAATTATAATATCCTTTTTATGATTATTAGGTTTATAATTATATGTAAGACTGGTCAGAAACTTTTGTAGTCAATTAACAGAGATCTCTTGAGATTAGAATCAGAAGGAATGCAAGCGCTTTTATACCTGTAAATGTGAAAAGAACATTTTGAAGTCATCCCCCCACCTTTTAAAATTTTTTTTACCAGCAATCTATAATTATTCTCCCTCTGGGGGCATCTTCTCAGTCCTGGACCCCGCTGTGGATTTGTTGGTTGTCGCTGGTGAGGTGGGTCGCTCAGGTGCAGCTGGCTCATGGCTCTCGGCGGGGGTGCAATCCCTGGTCTCTAAGTTGGCGGTCCCACCAGCGTGACCCATGATGGCACTTCCCAGGAGGACAGCCACAAGGGGTCATCCTTATCTGTCAGCGCACAGGCAAAATATCTCCCCCCAAGTTATTAAGGCAGGGGGAATTTTTTGACATATGGCCTTTTGTAATCTTAAAAACAAGTTTAATAATTTAGGCTCTAAGGTAGAGCAGGCCATAGCTCCTTCCAGTCTTTGAGTCAACCAAACTGCATAAGAGGAATCATTTAAAATACTAAGTGGTTGGGAAGGGAAGTTTTCAATCACAAATATAATGGCTAGCAACTCTGACCTCTGAGCAGAGAGACCAGGTGTAGGCAACACAACTAAAGGAAGAGCTCCAAATTGCTGCTTGGCCCTTAGAGGAGCCATCAGTGAAATAGGTTGAGGCACCTTGTAATGGCTGAAATTGAGTAACCTTGGGGAGAATAAATTCATGTCGTGAAAAAAGCTGAAACAGAGGATCACTAGGGTAATGATTATCTATCTGTCCAATGAAATCTGCAAAGGCTGCTTGGCAATATAAAGCAGTCTGTAGCAGCATCTGCATTTGATCCTTATCAATTGGGATAATGATGAAATGAGGGTCAGCACCAAATAACTGTCGGGTTCGATTACATCCCAAGAAAACTATTTTTGCAATTTGCTCTACATATAATTGTAGAGATTTCTCACTGGTTAGACAAAAGCCACTATTCCATGGGAAAGATCTGTTTCTCATACCATTGTCCTATTAAACCTGTAGGTGAGTGGGGAGTGTTAAGCACAAACAAATGAACTGGGTAGTTAGAGTTGATATGAAAAGCCTGCCAGTTATGTATGCTTTGTTCTATTAATTGTAACTTCTTTTGTGCCTCTGGAGTTAATCTTCGAGGGGAATTACGATCAGAGTCTCCCTGTGATAGTTCATATAAATTCAGCAACTGAAAATTTGCTATCCCTATTTTAGGCTTAATCCAATAAAAGGCAAATCAAGGTTGGTCAGTCAGCCACAAAGAAATGTTGAAAAAGCAGTCTTCTAAATCTATAAGTGGCCACTTCTGGGGAATTGCCACTGGGTTTGGTAAGCCAGGTTGCATCACTGGATCACTGAGGTCTGTTGTGACCAGAGGCCAAAATGGAATTATGTCTCAGAATGCCATAGCTGGCCTGTAGGCGGAAGAACTAGGCCTAATCAAATGATTTTTCCCTAAAATTGTGTAGCATTGCTCCCAACATGGATTTAGGGGGTGATACTAGGATTAAGGGAGTGGATAACGGAAGCCCTACCCTGGGCATGGGTGGCACCAATGGATGGAATAGAAAGGGATGAAGAGAAGGCTGGCTTGTCGCTTGCTGCTTACTGCCTTCTGCCTACCATGCTATGAAATGTTTCTCCTCTGTGATGCCCCTCTGCCCCTCTGCCATGCCACCTGGCTTGGAGCTGGCTGACAATGGACTGAAACATCTACAAACTGTGAGTTGAAATAAACCTCGTGTCAGGTATTGTGCCTCCGCAATGGGAAAGTAACTGAGACAGCTACAAACCCATGATGGTCTAATCTGTTGATGAGTCTCATACCTCCATGAACCAGTCACTTCTCAAAAGCCCTACCTATGAGTGCATGTGGCTTTGAGGCACATCTAGATATAAACCATACTCTTCTGCCCCCAGCCCTCAAAAGACTCATGTAGATCCCTTTATGCAAAATGCATTTAGATCATCTTTAAGAGTTGCCAAAGTTCTAACAGTTCCAGCAAAAAAAGTCCAAAATCTCCTCTGAGGTATAAAGCAAGCTGTTAGCTGTGAGCTCCTATAAAAATCAAAAAGAAAGTTAAGCACTGCTGACATACAAAGCCCCAGGTAAACATTCCCATTCCAAAAGGGAGGAATAGGTGGATAGAAAGCTTTGGGGCCAAAGCAAGACTGAAACCCAGTAGGGTGAACATTAAATCCTGTAACTGTGTCCAGCACCCAGAACAAGCTGTAGTGCAATGGAAGCTCCCCACCACTTGGGTGGCACACCCCTATGGCCCTGCTGGTGGTTGTCACTCTCACGGCCTCTCTCTTGGGCTGGCTTTGCTCAGTTCTTGCAGCTTTCCTGACCATCCATGCTCCTGCCTTTTCTTTCTTTGGTCCCCACTGCATGTGTGGCTTCATAGTTTCACACACCTCCCTCTCAAGGACACACTGCCTGGGCTCCCAGGCCTTCATCTGAAAGCCTCCCTGACCCCATAACTCTTGCATTCTGCATGATTGTAGAACCAGCACCATGTGGATGATTCCAAGGTCCACTACCAGTTCAAGCAGTAGCTAGGCCCTCTTGGATCATGGCTCCAGAGGCCTCTTGAGTGCCTGGATGGCTGAACACTGTGGACCAAATGCCGGGGAACCAAATCCCTAGTTGGCCTTTCTGAAGTAGGGTGCTCTCAGGCTCTTTTCAAAGCCAAGTCTTTCACTTTTGCAACTCTGAGCCAACAAGGATGGGTGTGTCTTGCTCTGCTTTTGATGCCTTCAAGCCATTTCTTTCTATTGTCTTGTGGTAAAGTACATACTTGGCTTCTTTTATTTTTATTTATTTATTTTTGGTACCAGGGATTGAACTCAGGACCTTGTGCTTATGAGGCAGGTGGCAGAACCACTGAGCTAAATCCCTCGCCCCTGGCTTTTTTTAATGTTAATCTTTTTAGCAACCAAGCTCTCCTTTGCTCCAATTTCAAGGGAGCATCCATTCTGGCAAAATTGAAACCTTTTCTCTTTCTTTCTTTCTTTCTTTCTTTCTTTCTTTCTTTCTTTCTTTCTTTCTTTTTTTGAGACAGGGTCTTGCTAAGTCACTAAGTTACCAAGGCTGGGCTTGAATCTTCAGTCCTCCTGCCTCAGCCTCACAGGATGCTGGGACTACCCATGCCTGGCTCAAGTGATTTTCTGTTGCAGGACATTTAGTACTACATTTAATCAATTCAAAGAAGTCTTCTCATTAGTGACTTGGAGTCCAGATGTCTTCCATCCGCAGCTCATCGTAGTGTTATGCATGTGGCCGGACACAATGTGATGCTTTTTTTTGTACTGGGGATCAAACTCAGGACCTTGTGCTTTTGAGACAGGCGCAGTGCCACTGAGCTAAATCCTCAACCCTGCAACGTGATGTTTTACAATTATCGGTGTCCCCAAGCTAATGGTGTACTGTCGTTGTTGACCAGTGCCACCGAGTCACCCCACAGCCACCAGTCTCAGGGGCTCTGATCCCTACATCCACCTTGGCAGCAGCAGCCCCTGGTGTTCCCACCTCCCAGACTCACACTCTGAGCTGACTCTTCACCTGTGCATCCTTGGGCCAAAGCTGCCATGGTTCTGAAGCCAGATAGCAGAACCAGAGCTTGGAGCTGGCTGGGGTGGGAGCTGCCTCTGAGTGGATGTTACACAGAGACCTCCAGGTCTCCTGGGAGTGCAAATGCTCAAGACCGGAAGATAGTTGTGAAGTTCAAGCCAAGTGTCCGTTGACTTGCTCTAAGGCTCCGCAGGGTCATAGGGAGTGGGTGGCACTCATCTCTGGGCCTTCGGGAGATGGGGTAGAAACTTAGGTCCAAATCCAGACTGCCATTTCCTTGCTGTTGATCTTGGGCGGCCAGGACAGAGCAAGACTACGCCCTTCTCAGGCTCAGAGTTGTACAAGACTTTGCTTTGAGGGGAGGGAGGGAAGAAGGGAGGGAGAGAGGGAGAGAGCACGAGTGCCCCAGGGTAGCCTAGGGAATTGTTTCCCCGGGAAGTTGTGGTTCACAGCGCTCAGCTGTCCAGGCACTTGGCGGCCTCTGGAGCCATGGCCCTAGAGGGTCTGGCTACTGCTCAAGCTGGCAGCAGACCCTGGTGTCCTCCTAGCTGCACTTCTCACCAGCACTGTGGCCTTGGCTGTGTCATTTACTCTCTGTCTCCTCTTGTGTAAAATGGGTCGCTGTGAGGCCACTTCGGGGACTGAGGACAGCATTCCAGAAACTGATCAAAACACAGGGGCGCATGTGTAGCCTGCCTGCCTTTCACTTCTGGGTTTCGGACACCCCAGAATTGGCCTGGGGGAACAGAAGCTGCACAGACTGGTTGAGCTCCAGCAGGGGTGCAGCGAGAAGGGGCCTTCCGAGTGCCGTGCCGAGGCCCTTCCGATGATCCGTCCAACCACCGCCCTGGGCCTCAGGCAGAGAGGACAGTCGGGGTCAGTGCCCCGCGCAGGACCCACAAAGCGCGCAGTGAGGGAAGAGGCCGGAGGCGTGGGGCGCCCCGGGGGCCGCAGAGGCGATACCCGCTTCTAGGGGCGAGGCGCCCGGCCTGCCCGCTTCCCGAGCCACACAGGGTCCCACAGCGGCCCGAGTTCCCTCCCGGGACGCAGCCTGCACTGGGTCTGCGTGGGCAGCGGGGCCGGGCCGCGACGGGACGCGGACGACGAGCGGCGGCTGGCGGACCAGGCCCACGCCGTGCTCCGCGACCTCCCGACCCCGCCGCGCACACCGACTCCGCGCCCGCGCGCCCCTGCGCCGGGCCCGCCCGTGACGCAGTTCCAACCCCGGGAGGCGCGCCCGGCGCGCGCCCGACAACAGGGTGCGCGCATCGTGCACGCGCCCCCACCACGTGACCACCGGCCGGCCAACCGGCGCGCGGGGATTTGGGGATAAAGCGCGGCCCCGCGAGCAGTTGCGGCGGGAGAGCAGCGGGGCCCAGAGCGTGACTCGTCCGCTCCTCGCTGCGCTTCCGCCGCCCATCGCCAGCTGCCGTCGCCGCCATCACCATGTCCGAGGAGAAGCCCAAGGTGAGCCGGCCCCGTGTTGCGCCAGGCCGGGCGGGACTCAGCCTGCGGGACCGCGCCCGACCGCCGCCCCTCCCCCCGCCCCTCCCCCACGGCGCCCACCCCGCCCCAGGGGCGCACCCTGCCGAGCCCCGCCCCGAGCCCCGCCCCGAGTGCCCGCCCCGAGTGCCCGCCTCCTGAGCGTGCTGGGCCCGCCCCGTGTTCCCGCCTCCCGCCGGGCGCGCTCCCGCTGCGGTGCTGGGCGCTCCTCCCCTCCGCCCGGGTCCTGGGGTTCTCACCCTGGCTCCTGACTGCGCACACGCTCCTGCCTCGGCCACCTGCTGGGTCTGCCCTCCGCAGGGCCAGCTGGACGGCTGATCCCGGGCCCAGTTCGACCCCCGCCAGCCTGGGGCCTCCTGAATCCCTCGACCAGGTGGAGGGATTCGGGGCGGCCCTGCGCCCTCACCCGAGCCCGGCCCAGGCCTCCCGGCCGCCTGTGCTCCGCCAGCCCTAGGTCCTTGCTTGGTGCCTTGCGGGCCTTCCCCTTAACGAAGTTACATCCAACAACTGCACGTGGTGCCGAGCTGAACTCCGGGCTCGGCTCCTCCCAGGTGACTGAGTGGCTGCCGCTCCCCGGCCCGGCTCGGGCCGGCTCTGCCCTGCTGGGAGCGGCTCCTCCGCGCAGAGACCCCGGCCCACAGCCACACCTGGCCTGCGCGGGCGGTGGCTAGAAGAAACCAGCGTCTGTCCCCCGGGTAGCAGGACGGGACGACCACAGCGAACTGAGCTCAGGGTTTTCAGGTTCCTCCTCTTTACAGAGGCTTTCTGTGGAGCCCAGGCTGGCCCTGTACTCCCTGTGTGGTCCAGGCTGGCCTTGAACTCAGCCATCCTCTTGCCACAGCCTGCAGAGTGCTCGGGGTTAGAAATGTGCGCTCCATGCCTGGCTAAGGGTTTCATTAGAAAAGAAAACTCGGGAATTCCTGAGCGAGATTGCATAGAGGGTCCCCAAGCTGGGTACCGACGCTTGTGGGTGGTGCCCTGTGCCCACCTGGCCTGTGTGCAGCCTTTGCGTGTCCTGTCGGCCTCGTGTTCTGGTCCCTGTGTGCATCAGTTTTGAACACGCTTTTAGGGAGTGGAGAAGGGAGCTTAGCGGGGCCCCCTTTTGCGGAAGTGGGACATCCAGTCGTTGGTGCCCTCCTTGGCATGGCCCACTCCCTGTGCTGGAGCCCACCTTCTGGCATCCTGAGTGGGAGGGGGCTCCCTGCTGGAGGCTGGCACTCTGGGGGCCACCTCTCCCACCACATGGGCAGCCCTGTGGCCCAGCAGTGCGCCAGCCTTCTGCACGCGCCCACTCCCCTTTTCTAGGCCCGGTGTGGCAGGGTGTGTGGGGAGTGGGGAGTGAGGCGCCCCTCCCACTCTCCTCCCCCGGAAAGGAAGGCGCAGTGATGACAGAACCGAGAGAGCTCCTGAGGCAGCTGGCTCCTGGTCATTGCTCCGGGTGTGCAGGCTCGGGATGCGTAGACAGACGCATGGACACCACTCTGCTGCCCTGCTTGGTCCTCCAGGCCACCAGTGGGGCCTTGTTTCATTAAAAAATAAATGGCTCCGTGGACTCCTTTGCTTCTGGATGGCGTCAGGTGGCAAAGTAGCACTTCCGGCCTGCCTGACAGGCTTGGAAAACAGAAAGTGGTTCTGGGACCTCAGTTCCTTTTCGGGCCGAGCAGCCCCAGGGCTGGCTCAGTGCCCTGAGCAAAACCTTTCTGGTAGGTTCAGTGTGTTCACAAGCTGCTACTGAGTGGCGTGTGTGCATCGCGAGTGATATGGAAGTGAGATCTAGGAATGGCTCCTGTGCCTACGTTTCTATGGGAGCCTTGTGCTGTGGAGCCCTTGTTGCCCTGCACCCCCAGCCCCAGGACAGGCTGAGCCCCGCACTCCAAGGAGCACAGAGGATGGCTCCGCCCCTCCCAGCCCCACTGACCACAGCGCTCCTCCTGGCTGCCCAGGCGCTGTTCTGCTTTGCTGTATTTACTGTGCTGTGTAGCTTGTGTAACCTGTGGGTGTGCTTTCTACCAGCTGCGTGAGAGCGATTTTAGAACAGATGGATTTCTTCCTAGATGTATTAAACCAGCTTTCTTGGCATTAATCTGGAGGACTCCAGCATTGCCCTGTGTCTTCTACACGTGGATGCTTAACAAGTGGAAGTTAAAAATAAATTGTGTAAAAATAAAACAGTCACATGAGTGACTCTGAATTGCTGGAGAATTTTAAGAATTAGGTTGGTTCTAATGACCTTAAAAAAAACCTTGGTTACCTGACGACTCGATTTGAGGCTGGTGGCTGTCAAGCCCTGCTTCTATCTTGCAGGAGGGTGTGAAGACGGAGAATGACCACATCAACCTGAAGGTGGCCGGGCAGGATGGCTCGGTGGTGCAGTTCAAGATCAAGAGGCACACCCCACTGAGCAAGCTGATGAAGGCCTACTGCGAGAGGCAGGTGCGCGGGCTGGGCCTGCTCGTCATGTCCCCAGCATCCCTGAAGGCCTCTCCCTGGGTTTCTGCAGTCGCAGCCATCCGCCAGGCATCCTCCTGGTGGGCTGCTCTCCAGGCACTGCACAAGGCCTGGCGCTGACCACTGCTGGGATCCTTGCTGAAATCTATGAATTTCTCAGAAGTGGCAAAGGATGCCTTCTAGTTCCTTCTTCGCTGTTTTTTGGAATATGCCTGTAGAGACACTGTCCTTGTTGGTGCTTTGGTTTTCCCTCTGCCTAGGAGAGGGAAGAAAATGCTTGACTTCCCCTGTATTGACTGGATTTCAAAATGGCGAGAGACCAGGTAGATCAGTCATTTCCGGTTGGCGTTGACAGTGTCCTCTGACACTGTCAGGCACGTGTGCTTCGGTTTGCTTGTTTATTGTGTTCTCCTGGAGCCCATGTGGGCCCCCTTTGACAAGAGGCCTCACCTCGTCCGCTCCATCCCTCAGCTGTGGCAGCAGCAGGTGCTGCCCTCTTTAGGACAGAGCCAGGTTACTGGGCTGGTCTCCTTGTTTGGCTTGGTCTGCTTGTTGCTGCTTGTGTGTGTTTCCGGGTGCAAGTTACTGACTGGTCACCCCATTTCCATTCCCACCTGCACTGAGACCCGCCTGGGAGGAGACATGGTGCCACCTGCCAGGCCAACCCTGCTTCCCAGTGTCCTCTGGGAGCCCCGTTCCTGCACCCTTTGGGTCAGTCTTTCCCTTTGTGGTGGCATAGCCTCACCTCATCAGAAGTCGGAAGCTGACAGTGACCTCCACACTTGGGTACTGGGCTACATGTAGCCTTCCAAGTTGCAGTCCATTTTCTTCCGTATAAGTTATTGTGGTTTTGTGTGCACGCGTGCATGATTTTCTTTTCAGTACTGGGGATTGAAGCCAGGGCTTTCCCAGTGAGCTGCATCCCAGCCCTTTTTGGTTTTTTGAGACAAAGTCTTGCCAAGACCCTAAATTGGCCATGCTTGGCTGGTACTGCAATCCTCTTGCTTCAGCCTGTTGAGAGCCGAGATGATGGGTGTGTGCCACCACTCCTGCAGACATCCTGACTCTTCCGTTGTGTCCCTTGAGTTCGCTCAGAAAGCCTCAGGGCTGTCTCCTGGCACTGGCCAGCTGAGGGTCCGTTCCAGGTGCTTGCCTTTGGGGTGCTTTGTGGGCTTCTTCTGTCTAGAAACTTATTTTCAGCTTCAGACATGCAACTCTATGAGTTCTTTGACAATCTGTGTCCTTTTGTAGTTTCTATTCCCTCTCTGGAATTTCTGGTCTTCCTGTAGTCGACTGTCAATGTTTTCATTTTGATTATTTTTTCCCATCTTACATTGGGTTTTATTTTTCCTGTTAGTTTCTTTTCTGGGAATTTTTCTTAACTTTATCCTCCCACTTTGTATGGCCTTTCTTTCCTTTTCTTCCTTCTTCCTTTCCTGCCTCTCTCTCTCTCCCCCCCTCCCTCTTTCTTTCCTTGTTTGTTTGTTTGTTTTTGAGACAGGGCCTTGCTGTGCAGTTCAGGCTGGCCTTGGACTCACTGTGCAGGCCAGACTGGCCTGGAACTTGTAGTGATCCTCCTGCCTCAGCCTCTGGAGTGCTGAGATTGCAGATGTGTGTCACCATGCCTGCTTGGCCATTCTTATTTCTGTGTGATTTTTAATTTATGAAAGTTTTTTTTCCTTTCTTCTTTTGAGTTTCCTTTTTTTCCCCAGAGGCAGCTTGCTTTTGTGTCCTGGATATATACGCATTAATTTTTTTTACCTAAGAGCTCTGCACACACATGTGCGTGTGTACGTGTGCACACATTTGATGTGTGTGTAACTGCTCTGTCTCCTTTCTTCCTTCCTGTCTCCTCACTCTCCTTTTCTGCTCTGACTCATGTTGGCATCTTTCCTTGAACATCCTCTGCTCCTTGTGTTTGAGGGTGGTGTCGGTGTGTGTGGGTGGGTGTGGCTGCAGGGGCTGCCTGGCCAGGGCTGGTGGCCTTGTTGGTGGGGCCCAGACACTGTAATCTGGGAGTTGCTCCAAGTGTCCTGGACGTGAGCTCTGGGGCTGGGGAGGAGCTGGCTCTTTCCCTCGTTTCTGGCTGGCTGGCCGCTTGTCCCTGTGTCCTGAGCTCAGAGCTCCGGGAAGTAGATAGGCCATTTGTGACCATCAGGACAGTGGGGGAGGGGCTGTGCGTGTCCCTGCCTCCCGGGGCCCCGGGCCCCTCACCCCAGCCTGCAGCTGTTGCCCCCGCACCCCAGCGCCCGGGGTCCAGAGCCCAGCAGAGCAGCCTCTGTCTGCCGGCCTCTCCCTCTGTTCGCTTTGTCCCTGGGGTGTGCTTTCATTTATGTCATTGCGGCATGGCTTGGAAGGCTTGGACGCTGTTTTAACCCCACTGCTTGATAAATGGGTGTGTCTGCCCAGCCGTGTGCTCGCCACCCCTTGGACTGGACGGGATGGGCTCTGCCTTTCTTTGGGCTGGGAAGCGGCCCTCCTTCCTGCTGCCATCCTATGGCTGTGGCTTCCTTTACTCAGCCCCTGCTGTCACCTGATGACCTGTTTCTCTGGGGTGGGGGTGGGGTGCCACCATGTAGAAGTCCTGCTGGCTTCTGGGAGGGGAGGGAGCCGGGCGGGCAGGGCTCCAGAGAGAGAGGTCCGAAGGCGGCCTCAGAGTGCTGGTCCAGCCACCGCCTGAAATAGGCTGGGGCCACAGGAAGTATTTCGCTCACCTGGTCATAAACGCATGTACCCAGAAGGCTGGTATTTTGGTTGACTTTTAAAAAATTCAGCTGTGAAGATTGAACAGTAATTTTGTTTTCTTTCCAGGGCTTGTCAATGAGACAGATCAGATTCAGGTTTGATGGGCAACCCATTAATGAAACAGATACTCCAGCACAGGTATGTAGCCGCTGTGTCCAGGCCTGCCCCATGGGCGTCCACATCGATGCCACGGGCATGCACCTGAGAGAGTTATTGATGAGAGTGTGTGTGTGTGTGTGTGTGTGTGTGTGTGTGTATTTTGGTACTGGGGATCGAACTCAGGACCTTGCACTTTCAAGGCAAGCACAGCACCACTGAGCCACATCCCCGGCCCTTGACAGTGTTTTTACTGGTGTTTTCCAGTCTTTCTATAAAGCACGTAACGGTCACATGTCCCATGCGGAGCTGGCGCGTGCACACGACCGTCTTCATTCTTTGTTTCCATCCCTTCCCTGCCGTCCCTCTCCCCTTCCCATTTGCAAAAGATCTCACTTTTTTCTGTGACCAAGCTTTCATTTTGTTCTTTAATTATATTTTGGGTTTCTCATATAAGAGAAACCGTGCAACATTTAAGCTTGTGTGTCATCTTTCTTAATAAGTTTTAATTAGCAGATTTTACAATTTTTGGTATTTTGAGATTAAGTTTTTCAGTTGAGAAAATGGTTCCATCACACATCACCCTGGCCCCCAGTGCTGAGACCTATGCTCTCAGGGCACCTGGTCAGTAACTGGCTGCTGCCCAGGAATCCCCCAGGGAGGCTGGGCAGACGCTCCTGCCACCAATTGTCTGGACTCTGAGTTTGCAACTTCAGTCAGTCTGTAGCTGGGTGCTGGGTTCGATTCCTGTGCCCCGAAAGCATTTTCACAGGTGACGATGGAGGAGGTGCTGCTACGCCCCACTGTCATGCTGAGGGCAGCGCCTAAGCACAGTGTGGAGCCTCAGGCTTGGAGCGACACATGCTCCAAACTGTAGCTCAGGTGGCAGCTCTTGCTGTCTGTCATCTGATGGCGATGGCCTTATGATCTCAGTCACTTCATCTCTTGGGAGCCAAGTTTTGTCTCTAAAATGGAGATGGTAGCTTTTTATTTCTCCCTTATTAGGTGATAATCAATTGGGATGTTTTATGTAAAAATATTTTTGCAGAACTTTTAACATCAAATATTGAAAATAGTTTTGTAGTATTTAACTTCAGGCTGCTTTTGGAACTCTTCCCCACTCACTAGAGTGGTGGGCTGTCTGAGAGCTCCCAGGGGAGTAAGCAGGGTGGAAGAGGCCCCAGGGCGGCTGCCAGGAGGGAGGTGGGAGGTTCACCACCTCAGATGGTCCCCTGGGAGGTCCTGTGTCTGCACCAGGCCTGCCGCGAGGACTTCTGCTGAGAAGACTGCAGAATGGACCTGTCCCCAGCCTCGGCAGGCTCACGGGGAACTGCAGGCCGTCCCTCTTCAGAGTAAGAAAAGAACAGGGAATGTTTCTGTACTTGATTTATCCGAAGAGAAGCACACGAGAGGGGCTTACTGGCCTCTGCCCTGGTATTAGAGGCAGGGGAGGGTCCACAGTGAGTCGTCTTCATGGTCCCTTACTTCTTGGCTCACTGCACTTGCTGTAAAGCACATGGCTCCTGCAGGCTACTGACAGAGTCTGTGTGCCACATTCAGTATGGAGTTTAGACAGGTCAGTTTAATTTTTTTTTTTTTTTGGTACCGGGGATCGAACTTGGGTCCTTGTGCTTCTGAGGCAGGCAGCGGCACCACTGAGCTAAATCCCCAGATGTCACTTTAATTTGAATGAATGTTTTTCTGACAGTTAAAGTTCTTAGCTGTGAATATTCTTGCATGAGCTTTGTTAGGGGAAATTGGTTGGATTAATAGTGGGGAAGTAGTTGTGACTCCACAGTGATACTTCTCCCCCCAAGACCCCTGACAAAGTGGTGGGCGGCTGCCTCTAGTGTGGGGGGCAGGTAGCGTGCACTGTGTTCACTCTTCCCTTCTCCTGACATCTCTTGTACCCGCTCACTGGGGCTGGCCACTGTGACTGACAGCTGGAGATGGAGGACGAGGACACCATCGACGTGTTTCAGCAACAGACGGGAGGTGCGGCCTCCAGAGGGACCGTTGTGCACCCTGCGTTTGCTGTGGAGTGGTGAGCACACGGCCAAGCTGATCACCGGAGTCTGGGAGCCGAGGACAGTCACCACCCAACCCACCTCTGTCGGGTGCACCTCCAGTGCAATGCAGAACTGCATCTAGAGAAGCGTCTACAGCTTAAATTGGGCCAGATTGGTTTTGATTAGATAAAATGAGTTGTGAGGTTTTTTGTTTTCATTTTTGTTTTTTTCTCCCCTCCCAAAACATTTTTTTACAAGAGTTGTGGCCGAGTGTTGGCTCCATCTGTGGCCAGCTTGTCACCCCAGAGTTGAGACTGCTCCTGAGCGGCCTGTCGTAAGCATATAGACAGTGCATATTCTCCCAGGGAGTGTGGCCGTGGGACCACGGGCAGAATTTCACTCACTTTTTGCTGTAGGCACAGGTACTGCGATTGCAACTTGAGGCTTTGTCAAGCATTATGGTAAAGTGGAAGGGAAAAACTGGCCCGCTTCTTGAAAGGTCATGAACACATGGCAGGTCATTCAGTGCTGTGGCCCTGCTCTCTGCTCCTGATGCGTCCCCTGGGGCCTGAAGCTCTGGATGCCGTCCCTCTGCCCAGTACCTGGTGAAGGTGCATGGGCAAAGATTGGCGCAACAAAAACCAGCTTTTTCCCTTTTCGTAAGAATAAAGTAGCTACCACATTTCTCACTTGGCAATTGTATTGTGGCCTCAGACGTCTAGTACTCACCTTGATGAATAGTTATGGTCTTCATATAAAAAAGATGAAGTTTCCTGAATTTTCAGTTCCATTACTGTGTAAGAGCTACTTCAAAATGTGGTTGCAAAAGAAGCCCTTGGAAAGGTGACTTTGTGTTCTTCTCATGGATTTGTGCTCCACTGCTTTCCAAGTATGTATTGTTGTCGTGCATTAGTACGGTGACCCCAGTTCTGTGACATGTTTTGGGCTCTGCCAGTTACATCGTTCATAGCTCTGCCTGTTGTCCTCCTCTGAAGACCCACTGCTGCGTGGCAGCCATGCTCTGACGCTCAGTCACCTGAGAAGGGCCTGCCATCTGTTGCTTGCTTAGAATCCTGCAAAAATGTTCCTTGTTTTGCTGTATGGGCTTGGGGTGGGGTGTTTGTTGGCTCTGTTGTGGTTATTCACCAATTTGTACATTATTTGCTGTCCTTTACTACTGTAAACAGTAAATATAGTTTGGTATTCTGTCTCCGGGCTCACATTAAATGCTGCCTTTGATGTCAAGGTGAATGTCGGCACTCAGTATGCACACTGAGTGTGGAGCAGGCCACTCAGGAGTGGCCTTAGTGGACTGATGGCCCCGCTGCCTCCTCTGGCACATCGCCCAGACTGGGCCAGCTCATCTGCACTGCTTATGGTGACAACACTCCCTTGTTCTCCTGCTGGCCTCAGAGAAGGGTTGGAGGTAGGTGGGTCTGGGTGTTAGTCTAGGTTTTAGGGCATCTTAATATTTCTGCTGTTTGAATATTCTATTTTCTTTTCTTTTAAAAAAAAACAGGGTCTCACTATGTAATTCAGGCTGGCCTCAAACTTGCTGGGATCCTCCTGCCTCAGCCTCCCAAGTGCTGGACTACAGGCTTGTGCCATCACGCCTGTTTAAATATTGTTTTATTTGTGACTTTGACAGCCTACTCATGTGTCAGTTTGAAAAATGAACTGAAGCCTCAGTATCTGCTGGTGAGATGTAAAACCAGATTAAGTGTCATCAGTGACCATGCTGTCATGGTCAGTGAGCTGAGTAACCACTAGGTGAAAGGTGGAGGGCAGCAGGGACTGAGTCACTGGGCAGCAGCAGGACAGGGGTTAAAACAGTGGAGACAGCTGTTTGCCACATCCTCTGTGTAACTTGGGAAGGGCTGTGGAATCCAGTAGACTCCATAAGGAGAGGGACCCCTCTCAGGAGCTTTCAGTTAGATGAGACTGGCAGCCAAGAAGTTACTTGGCTGTGTTAGAGTTGCTCCAGCTTCCCCCGTGCCCTGATGTTAGCAGAAAGAGCAGCATGTCCTCCACACTTTCATTTCAGAAATGTACCTGAATTTTGGAATAATAGATTTGTTGGTATTGGGAGATAACATTTGTTTTTCAATGCTGGGGCTGCAACCCTGGGCCCTGTGCATGCCCTGTTACTGACCTACATTCCAGCCCCTAATATTTTTTAAAACAATAAATCACAATTTAATACCCAGAATCTTAGGATTCAGTGGATGCCTCGGGGTGATAGGCCCTACTTACGCGTTTATGCGTTTCCAGGATCCCAGCTGGAACTTTCTCAGTTTTAGCACTGAGTTTCCACATTTCAGGTCCCCCACAGTCCCAGCACTCCAGGGGTCCCCAGTGTGCACCCGCTCAGGTGGAGAAACTGCTGTTCTGAGGCTGTCATTACAACACTGGTCAGCTGGGACACGGTCAGCTGGGACACGGTGCTTAGGACTTCAGCTGACACTCGGAGCGGCCCTCCCCAGTGTCCTTGCTTAGGAAAGCCAGTCAGGGCCGGGGATTCAGCTCAGTGGTTTTGCCGCCTGCTGCGCAAACGCAAGGACCCGAGTTCGATCCGCAGTACCAAAAAAAGGAAAGTCAGTTATACACCCACTGCTCACAACCCTTGTGGTCCATGTTGGGAGTTGCCAGGTGTGCCATTAAAGCTGAACTGCAAATAAAGAACTGAATGATGACCCTGAGGGGGAAGTTAGGGAGGTCGTGGGGCTCTGAGGGTCAAACCCTGTCCAGCTGTGCAAAGGTTAGACTCACATGTGGCTTTCACAGCACGTTTTGCCTTTTTTTTGTCATTGGAGGCTAAAACTCATCCTGACAAACTGTAAGTCACATTTCTGTGCTCTTAGAGTAAGAGCAGGTTGTCCGGGAGAGAGCGGGAGTGGAGAAAACCGGAAGCGTCTGGCGACTTCTGAGTTGACGGTCCTGTTGGCCGCGTTTCCCAAGGCTGGGAAGAGGCGCGACCCCCGCCCCCAGGCCAAAAGCACCTGGGAAGGAGCCGCGGGCGCGGAGGCGGGCAGAGGCCGGGGCCGGCCCGGGCGCCCACTGACCGCGCCGCGCGAGGGGGGTGCGTCTCTGGGGCTCGGGAGCCGCAGCCCGCCCGTCGGCGCCACGTGGGCCACCCTGCGCCCACGCCGTGCCCCGGAAGCGCTTCTGGCCCGCGGCGGCGATGGCGGCGGCGACCCGGAAGCAGCCCCGGGTGGGCGTCGGGGCGGGCGCGACGGGCGGGCACGGTGCGGCAAGGCTGCGGAGCGCGGCTGCTGCCGGACATGGCGGGCACGGCGCTGAAGAGGCTGATGGCCGAGTACAAACGTGAGTCCGGGCCAGGCCCGCGTCCCCTGCCGTCCCGCCGCGGGCGGCGCCGGGCCTGAGTCACGCCGGCGTCTTCGGACGGGATCGGAGCCCGCACGGCCGCGTGTCGCGGCTTCGGGGTCGGCTTCCGCGCTCGCCGCTCCCCGCTCCCCGGCTCGTAAGCAGCGGAGCGGACGCGGGCCCGGTCAGGGACCGCGAGTCGTGCGGCCGCCGAGCGCGGCGCTGCGCCGCGCGGCTTCTGCTTCCGCCCTGCCGAGGAACGGGATGTGCGCCGGCCCTGTCGCCTCCCGGCAGCCCCCGGCCCGGAGCGGACACGCAGGGACGACCGCCCCGGAGGGCCAGCGGCCTGTTTCTGCAGGACCCTGAGAGGGCACCGGCGCGGCCTGGGGTCGGACCCTGGCCCTGCCGCGCTCCAGCCCCGGCCGTCCGCAGCCCTGCACCGCCCGGCTGCCGGATTGGAGCTCGTCCTGGAGGTGATCGCTCAGTCAGATGCAGTTAGGCAGCTGTCAGTGGGGTTCGCGCGATTATTCATTCTCGTAATTAGATCGAAGATAGTTTGGGGACAGAGTTGAAAATAAGCTAAGCACAAGTTTGATCCCCGGTACCAGGAAAAAAAAAAAAGAAAAAATAAGCTAAGCAATGAACGTAGTAAAAGTTAGTGGTAAGTGCACATGCAGCCTAATTTCCTCAACTGTTGGTGGCCTTGCACAGTAAGAGTCGATGTTTGGCTTCAGCAAACCGGTGTTGCAAGCACAGGCTGATTAAATGTTCAGATAATGCTCACCACCCAAGGTCCTTTCGGGAACATACTTTTATACCTTTGTTTTGCTTTTTTGAGACAGGGTTTCACTATACAAAGCCCAGGCTGGCTTTGAACTCAGGCTTCTCCTGCCTGAGTCTCCTGAGTGCTGGGAACACAGGCAGCAAATATAGTTGCCACCACACCCACTGTGTTTGTACATTTAAGAGAAGTTTTTGGGGACAGCGCGGGGTGCACCCTGAACAGAGGGTTGACTGGGGGCCACTGTTACCTCTGACTCTTGAGAGAGGGTTCAGACACGTGAATGCTGGTTTCTTGGTGCCCCAGTGTTTTGTTTCTGTCTTTTACTTTTTTAGCCCTATTTCTACATTGTGAGCAGGTGTTATTTTTTCATTTTTATAGAGAAGAAAACCATCCCCTGCATAGCAAATTCAGTTCAAGCTCCTGTTCAATCCAGTCTTGGATTGGTGAAGTTGAGTTTTTCCTCTTTTACAAAGCTTCATCCATTATTTCCACCACATTGTCAACTGCTTTGCAGTAATAAACCTAAGTAATTGTTTTCCAGAGCTGTGTGCTAGAAGTGTGTTGTCTGTGTGTTTTCGTGTGTTCATACCTGAAAGGCTGGAGCACCTGTGGCAGATGTTTCAGGGCCCTGTGCTCTGTCGTTCACTCTGACACTGCTGAGCTGGCCCTTGGGGAATGTGCTTAAGGTTACTCTTCACTGACTTGAAGAGAGGGAGAGGATCCTGGATTACCTGAGTGGAACCAGTAATCACGGGAGGTCCAAAAGTGAGGGAGCAGATCCGAGAGGCTCCGAGCATGAGAAGGACTGCCTGCGTGGTGGCTGCTTTGAAGGGAAGAAGAGGGCTGTGAGCTGACAAAAGAAGGTGTCCCTCAGAAGATGAGCAGGAGCCCAGGCAGCCGCCAGCCTGAGCCGGACCCTCAGCCTTCAGCCATGTGGAGTGGAGCTGTGTCTGCAGCAGCCCTGAACTTGGGCTGCAGCCCTGCCAACGCTTGTTCCGGCCTTGAGTCTGTAAGCAGTGTGCTGGCCCTCTCCGTGCCCTCACTCTGACACACAGGAACTGTGAAGTCCAGTGAGTGTTGGTCTGAGGCCCTGAGTGCACAGCAAGTTGTGGCAGTGGACAGAGCCTGAGTACAACTGGACAGAAAGTAGGTGCTGTGTTGAGGGATTTTCCCCCCGTGTCCTGGTAATGTAATAAAACTCCATTTAGGGTCTCCTGTATCTGAGCATCTAGCTTGTCCTCAGCATATTTAAGGGAGTATGAACCAGTGTAGGGGTGAACTCAGCAGAGACAGCCTCTGTAGAGGGGTGTGGAGGCAGATTTGGATATCTGTCCAGGCACACTGGACTGTGCTTGGGAATGGAGAACTGCAGATTTAGATATGGTTCTGTTTAGGCTCCTGATTTTACGGGAAATTATGTAATAAGCAAAAAGATTTGCTTCTGTTCATAGAGCAGGAAAAGGACCCAAATGTTTTAAATTGCTGCCTTCACACTCTCCAGCCTTTCCTGGGACTGAGAGACTGGCCTAGTTAGGAGTGTCCTAAGGCTGCCACCAGTGGGATAGCTCAACTCAGCCAAGTTTATCTCTCCCACTTCAGAAATCTCAAATCCAAACTCCGACAGGGCAGTGCTGGCTGGGGAGGCTCTGGGGTGGCTGCTTCCTCCTACCCCTGCTGCCAGTTGCTGGCAGTCCTTGGTGCTCTTAGCTTGTGGCAGTGTCTCTGATCTCCTCCACCCTCCTGTGGCCGCCATCCCTCTGTGTGTGGCTGTCTGATTTCCCGTTTGTAAGGGCACCAGTTGCTAGGTGGGGTGGGACAGCTCTGTTACCCTGGCTACTTGGGAGGCTTGTGGAATTGAGGCCAGCTTGGGCAACACAGTGAGACCCCACCTCAGAAAATAGCAAAAAGGGTACAGTTAGTCATTGGCTTAGAGCCCACCCTAGTCAGTGTGACTTCATCTTTTTTATTCCTTTTTTTTTTTTTTTTTTGGTACCGGGGATTGAATTCCGGACCTTGTGCTTGAGAGGCAGTCATAATGGCACTGAGCTAAATCCCCAGCCCTTCTTTCTTTTTTTACTGGAGATTGAACCCAGGGCCTTGTGCTTGCTGAGCAAGTGCTTTGCTGTGGAACTGTACTCTCAGTGCTTTTTATTTTGAGACAGGGTCTCACTGTGTTTGATCCTTCTGCCTCAGTGTCCCGAGTGGCTAGGATTGTGGGGCTGTGCTGCTGCACTTGCCTTTCTCACTTTATTTTTTATTTTTTTGAGGCAGGGTCTCGGTCTCACTGTGTAGCTCAGGCTGGCCTCGAATTCCTGGCCTCCTGTCTTAGCCTCTTGAGTGCTGGGATTACAGGCATGCACCCCCACACCTGGCTTCTTCACTTTAGTTGTTGCATCCGCAGAGACCCAGTTTCCAAATGACATGAACAGACTTTGGGAGGACTTGAACTTGGGGGGGTGCTATTTACTCAGTGTGGTGCCTAATAGGAGTCCAGAACCTGCATGTCCCAAACTGGCTCCTTCCTAGGTGTTTGGGCCAAAGACCTTGTATGTTCCGCTAGCTCACCCTCTCTTGTATCCTCCCTCCACACTCCACCCGAGCAGCATCCACTTCCCCAGGCCATTCCGGCCTGGATTCCTGTCTCAGGTTCTGCCTGGTCCTTTTCCTGTTACACTTTGTGCCGTTCTCAGCACAGCAGAGGTCCTGTTAAGGTTTAAGTCACTCCAGGCTTTGTGGCGCACACCTATGACCTTGGGGGTCTGGAGGCTGTGGCAGGAGGATTGCCAGTTTGAGGGGAGCCCGAGCACCTGACAGACACTGTCTTAAATGACACCCCTCTGCCGGGCAGTGAGGAGCACGGAGGGCTGGCTGGTAGCGCTCTTCGCTCACACTCTGCCCGCCCCTCCCCACCCTGGCTCATCTCCGGTGTCGGCACCCAGCTCCTTGGACAGCCTCAGCACATGTGTACCTTCCCCACTTCAGGGAGAAGCCATCCCTGCCTGGCCTTCCTGGGACTGTCGTTCCCTGCCACTTCCTCTTATTGTTTAAAGTTTATTTTTTTTATTGTGAAGTTTATTTTATATGTAAGACCATATAAAAGATTGGTTTACACATTAAATAATAAATGGACATCTGTGTTACTCAGCTTTCCATTACTGTCACAAAATACTTCAAATTATAAAGGGGAATGGGGACCAGGGATTTAGCTCAGTGGTGTGGTGCCTGCCTTGAAAGGGCAAGGTCCCAAGTTCGATCCTCGGTATCACAAAAAAGCGGGGGGGTGGTTTGTTTCAGCTCACCGCTTTGGAGGTTTCTGTTCATGGTGGGGCAGAATGATTGCTTTGGGGCCTGTGGCAAGGAACACATCATGGTGGGGCAAGCAGCAGAACGCAGTGTTTACCTTGTGGCTAGGACAGGAAAGAGCAAGAGGAGGGGCTGGGGTCCCAGTATCTCCTTGAATGACATGCCCTCAGGCATCAGAAGGGCTCCCCAGCCCTCGGTCCCTCTCTGAGTCCTGAGCCTGCGGTCCCTGTTAGGATGTATACTGCCTTGAAGCAACTGGAGCACCTGTGCATGGACTGGAACCTTTGAAACTGAGCCAGAGTAAATGTGGTCATCTCAGGTGTTTGGTTACCGTGACAGCAGCCTGACTAACACAGTCCTCACAGCTCCTTGCTTGTGAGTGAACCTCGAGTGGTGATGTCAAATCTTTGTGCTGCTTCCCACCACCAGCAGAAGTACGCTTGTGTTTCCCTTTCACAGTGTCTCTGCGTGTCTTTTGCTGACTTTCTGTAAGGTTGTTTGACTCTGCTGTAGACAGGTTGGAGTTCTTTCTGTCGCTAACCTGGTGTGGGTGATCTTGTGTTAGTTACCATATCCCTGTTTGTGCTTAGTCTTTTCAGCCTTTGCGGTGTCGTCTTCTCCCAGCTGCTGCAGGGAAAGCAGCTCTGTGAGCTAGTATTCGGCACAGTGCACTGACACGGTGCAGGAGGCTGCCACCATTGTGTGCATTCGGAGGACCATCACTGCAGTGGTGCCAGGGGTCTGGCCAGCATCTGCAGGGGTTTGCCCTGCCCGGTGTCCGTCTGTCCCTGTCCCTGTCCCCTTTCCTGTAACCCTTCCCAGGCAGTGACACATCCGTCTTCACTGCCTGCAGAGTCTTTTGTAGGTTTTTCTCGGACTTCTTCAACTCAGCCTAATTGTGTTGGACTTCACT